TATATATAAGGTGCATCCCAAATCGCAATCTTATGCACTATTCTGTACTGTTTTGTATTGAAAAAGTGCACTTTACATGCCTGGATGATGCACCTAATTAACTGTAAGTACATAAGTAAGTACATAAATCAATCAATCAATAAATCAATCAATAAATATGGAATGTTGGACACTTCATGCACTCAACTGCTTTAATTACGTAGTGGAAGGGGAGAGGCTGTCAGACTCAGATTATGAACGACAAAATAACCTAATATAATTCAGACACTAAGTACACTAAGTGCATAAGTACATTGTGTATAAGTGCATAATGTACAGTGTGTCATTTGGGATGCAAAAGTTGCATACTTTTTTATTAAATGCAAAAGTTACAGAGCCCTAATTTACAGTATATACCCACACTTGGATCGTCACAGTTATGTATTCCACCCCTTAAGGAATGAATGCACAAAACAATGCTGGGCACTGTACCAAAAAAGTACAGCACCATTACTCACAAAACATCATGAAGTTGCATCTCAATTTATGCCCTGTACAAGACAATTTAAGGACATGCAATTACAATGAAATACTTGATATCCATGTAGGGATATTAACAGAACAACGTTTAGGTGCTTTCATTCACCCATTGCATTCAAAGCACCTGCATCAGTTCATGTGTGTCTGTGGCATTTCAGTCATATCATTCCCAAAGAAAAATTATGTTTCTGACTACTGATGTGACATTTAGAGTGAGCTGCCACTGAAATGCTTTGGACTGAGGCTATTACCCAGAGGGCCTCAGCAGTCAGCTCTGAAATCATCATGTTTCTGGAGCTTTAAAGGGGTCATATGATGCTTTTTTAAAGATCATTATTTTGTGTATTTGGTAAATAAATAAAAAGTTGGTAAAATGTTTAAATATTTTTGAAAGAATATTCACCAAGGCTACATTTATTTGTTCAAAATACAGTAAAAACTGTAATATTATGAAATATTATTACAATTTAAAATAGCAGCTTTCTATTGTAATATATTTTAAATGCAGTTCATTCCTGTGCCTGTGATGCAAAGCTGAATTTTCAGCATCATTATTACAGTATTCAGTGCCACATGATCCTCCAGAAATCATTCTAATATGCTGATTTGCTGCTCAAGAAATTTCTGATTACTGTTGAAAATATTTGCTCAGGATTTTTTTCAGGATTCTTTTATGAATATAATGTTCAAAAGAACAGCATTTATTTGACATAGAAATATTTTATAACATTATAAATGTCACTTATTAACTGTCACTTTTGATCATTTTAATGTGTGACTACTGAAGAAAAAAAAAAAACGTACCCCAATGTTCATTCATACTATAAACAAGTACACGCATTTGAGTCAAAGAGAGAGACAGAAAA